TTTAAAAAGTAAACAAACAAAAAAGCCCAAAATTCCGCCTAAATCCAAAACAATACAAATCATTTGATTACAAAAAAAAAAAGAAACAAAAGAACACCGAAAGTCCTAGGAAGTCTTGTTTTGTTAAAATACATTTAAATAATTCTGTAATTCAATTCGTAAGGGAATAAGGTTCGGGAACCCTGAAAAAAGGGGAGGAACACAAAAGGGTTCCGTCGATCGAAATGTGCCAGGTTAATAATGCAATTAGAAGTGCCGCTTGTAACGTTGAGATGTGGTCGCGTTATAAGCGGAAGCGAGAGCGGTAATTGGTGGTTAATATTCCAATTAATCTGATATTTTCTATGTTTTCAAGAAAGGTTACTCCACAAATCAAAAATGTATTTTTTATTAAAATAATATTAGACATAAATTACGCGTCTATAAATTCCATTTTGAACTTAACGTGAATTCGTGGTATCAAGTCTTAATTCTTTCATATTTTTGTTAACATTAGCTTCCGCCCACGGCTTCGCCAGATCCAGATTATATCCTATCTACATACCAAATTTCAACTAAATGGCCAGCCGCTTTAGCGTGAAAGAATAAGAACCATACATCCATACATTTTCACATACTTTCATTTATAATATTAATAGGATAGTAAGAACAGGGATTACTAAATTAACAAAAACATAACTGTTTATAAAATCAAACTGAAAACTGGTGAGGAGCGACCAAAACAATTCTTTTAAAAATCGCTCTCCGCTCTCGTAGGAACCTAAGCCGTTCACTAAAAGCCACTTCTGACCGTGGTAAAAGGTAATTATTGACTTTTTCAACTTCCTTTCTCCCTAGACGCCTGGCGAAAGCAGATAAGACTGGCCTAATTAAAACCCGGGTCTGTAGTTCTTTTCAGGAGCTGACGTGTTTGAGGATAAGAAAGGAATCGGGATATATGTATGGAAATTGGATGGGATAGACCTGTCCTGTTTTGTTGATGGGGAAGATTAGTTCTGAGAATTGCGTGACCTTGTAAGATGGAGCTGTTTTTTTTCTAACAAAACATGTAAAACTATTGGAGAAATGATTGGTCTGTTTATATTTTTACTAGAAACCGGCTTCGCACGGGAGCAATACTGATATTAAATATCTCTACTGTTAAATATCTATTAAAAGTAAAAAACTGGATCAAAATCCGTTTCGTAGTTTTAAAGACTTAATTAAACATATACAGGGATATAGGGACAGAGAAAGCGACTTTGTTTTATACTATGTAGTAATGAGAAATATTCGTTTTTATTTTTAAAGACACATTATTGGAATATGGACTTACTGCATTGAGCATCTTGATCGATTTTAGCGCTGGTTAAATAATTGTTAAAGGTCTTTTCTCGATGACATTGAAAAGTAAACAAAAAGGTTATTTCTCTATCGGTTAGTTATTGCACTACAATAAACTACAGTCTTACATCTTCTCTCCGAAACAGTCTATTCTATCAACACAGTCTGATTCTCCATCAAACAAGTAAACTGAGCGATTTCTCCCATAAATTCCACCCGCAACATGGCTAGCTCAAAAATACTGGGAACTCGATCAATTCGCACTAACTACAGGCCGAAGTGCAGATGAAAAGAACAAAAAATCTAGATATTCGGTCCAAAAGACAAATCAGACTTCAAATTTTTTTCCAGAACCGTTGTATGACGTTTGGTTAGCACTAACCGCGTTTCTTTCTCATTTTTTTATGGAATATGAGTCAAAACTGGTATTAAGTGATCAGCGCCGTAAATGAAAGACCAAAGGAATCACAACAGCGTTGCCAATCTTGTAAGAAGGGAGAGCCGTTCTTTAACTCGGAGTGATACCACGGCCTCACAGACAACCGGTGTGAAAAAACTCCAGCGTTGTGTTTCGCTGCGTGACTGAGGTTATCGGAGGTCCAATTCTTCCTCTCCTGCAATCCCTTAATCACCAAATCCTTAATCCCCAAAAAATCGGTAACGCACGTGACTTCTCTTTTGCAGATGTCCATGGGCGGCGCTGATGGCTTACTATCAGGAAATCCGTCTGCTCGTTTGCCGTCCTATTACAAGAAGGAGTACGCTTAATGGCCGTGAATGGCGAAACCATTCATTTGATTGATAATGCAAATTTATAGTTATTCGGTATTAAAAATTAGGGTTGGTCACTGGAGTTCCTCTAGCTAATTTAAAGGACTTATTATTACGATAGTGTTTACTAATAGTTACGATAACTTTAATATTTTAAACAATCAATTGACGGATACGTATGTTACTAGGATCCCATTCAATAATCATATTCACAGAAATTAAACCAGACAGAACATTACACTAGCTATCAGGAACCAACTTCTTTAAGACAAAAAACAGGCGTGATTTATTAAGAGAAAATTCATGGCTTTATGGAAGGTACAATCGTTGACAAAAGCCTGCATGTATAATAAAAGTGAGGTCCATACTAAAGTAAAGTTGCTTTACTTTAGACCATATTTGCTGTAGGTTGTCGTTTAAGGCCGCATTGTGTCTCAATTGCAGGACAGGCTTTGGTGTAGTTTATTAAACCTTACTCGGTGTAACGGATCTAGGGGAGGGAATTATTTGGTAGGTGTGTTTGAGTGGTGTCTCGGGTTGCATGTATTGTTCTTGCTATAAAATATTGCTGTTTGGTAAAATATTAAATAAATGTTTTCTTCTGGGAAAATGCCTCAACCTCCCAAAACCACTGCAACTTCTGCAAGCTAGGATCGACAGGAGATAGAAAAACAAAGACACTGAAGTCCGTCGCGTCCCAGGGACATGAATGACTGTCTTGAATCCCGCAACGAAATAAATCCGAAGATATAACTTGAGGAGAAGAAAAACAAAATAGTTTATACTTCACTCGGTAAATTTGACAGGAGACAGAATGACTTAAGCTTTAAAGGCACAAAAGAGACTGTACTTACAACTGGGAGAAGCCCAGTCACCAAGTACCACAAAAAATGTTCTATTGTAATGGGACATACGTGTGAGCTGCTATACTTGTTTTCAAATTTAAAATAACACAAACAATGAAAAAAACTTCATGAATCAACTTAAAAATCGTTAACATCTCTATCGTTGACAGTAGCGCATGCAGCCTAGCAAGGAATCCGCCATGACACTTCATTTGTTAATGAAACTCCTTTGAGTCCTGTATCTAGCTATGAAATTTACACTGTTTGTGTACCGTCTATAGATTCTGTGTTTACAATACATAAGCTACAATTGAATTTGGTTCTTAAAACAACTGCGGAAGTTTAGTTTTTGTATGCATGGAATAGTGAGAGCTGAACGCGCTGATTAAATATCTGGTATATGGTAATCAATTTGCGCCGTCCATGGACAATATCGAGGAGGTACAAGTGTGTTTTCTGCTTAAATACAGGTAAAAGATTTTAAGGACAAGAATTGTGGCCCAATCCCTTCCCTCCCCTATCCCTTCCCGATCCTTATATCCCCAACCCCTATCCCCCAAAAGGCCGGCAACGCACTCGTAATTCCTTTGGTGTTGCGGGTGTCCATGGGCGGCGCCGATTGCTTACCGTCAGGTAATCCGTCTGCTCGTTTGCCGACTTATACCATATAAAAAAAACAACCGGTTTACCTTTGTTCGAATTAAAATTAATAATCATCTGTATAGTATTATTGAAAGTATCGTGTCATAAGGGGTCCTATTCATTAGAGCGTGTCACTTTTTTCTGTTTATTAACGTCAGTAAGTATCGTTATTTTTAATAGTAGTAGTATTTATGTCTCATAATACTTCATAATCATCTGTGATCACCTATTTGAATAAATTCTTAAATAATTTGTAATTTTATCTCAATACTAGCTTTTGCCCGCGACTTCGTACGCGTGGAATAGTGACTGCCTGCGTATTTTTGGTATACAAAATATCCTATGTCATTTTACAGAAATCGGTTCAGTAGTTTAGGCGCAAAGAAAAGACAGACAGACTGACAGAGTTACTTTCGCATTTATAATGTTAGTTTGGATTATGTATAATTTTGAAAATCTTATTAATATTTAAATAAGTTATGTAAAAGTATTTAACTTAAAGAACGAGACATTGTTAGTTTAACTATTTAACTTGAACTGAGATTAAATTGAACTTCAGTTTATAAACATAGTTTTATTTACAAATAAATGATAGTTCAAAGCAAAAGAGAAATATATTAACAGTTGTTAACAAACTCTTGTTAACATTGCAAGAAATATGAGATTACAGAAAACAATTTCTTCGGATAGATAATGTTATTGTCAAAGGAATCCTTTTTTTGTTATAGGACGGTAAAAGAGCAGACGGATTACCTCATGGTAAGCCATGAACGCCGCCCATGGACACTCACTACACCAGAGAAGTAACGATTGCGTTGCCGGCTTTTTGGGATTAAGCCTAACCCTCCACCGCCTCCCCCATCTTCTATCCTCAAATGCCCTATCAGTAAATCCCTAATAACCCACAATAGCAACGCACTCATAGTAACTCCTTTGGTATTGCGAGTGTCCAGGGCGGCATCGATTACATCACGTCAGGTGATGATTGACACAAAGATTGTATAAATTAATTTCGATAATAACGTACACATACTTAATTATAAAACTGTAACTATTTTTTTTTTTTTTTGATTTGAGATGATTCATGATAGCACAAGTATAAACCTTAGTGGTTTTTTGGTTGCTATTTAACATAAATAATCCTGTAATATTTGTAAAAATGATAAATAAATAATTAAAAAAAAGGTAATCCGTCTGCTCGTTTGCCGACCTATGACATAGAAAAAAATTACCGTATCAGAGATTTTGGCGTCGTTGCTACTTATTAATATCTAGAACACTATTCTATGATTATTTAGACACCACTGACATACGGTGAAAGTAACCATCGTGAGGAAACCTGGACTTATAGGTAATTTCTAATTATAAGTTTGAAATCGCCAAACCGCATTGAGCAAGCGTGGTGATTAATGCTCTAACCTTCGCCGTATGAGAAGAGGCCTTTGCTCAGCAGTGGGCACTTATAGGCTGATGATGAATATCTAGAACACAATTAATTATTAAAATATAGATCTAGGTTTTGGACAAAAACTATTCGAATCGTAAGTTGTAGATGCGTTTACGATCACAAATCAATCACATATAATCATACAAAGAGATTTTTCATGCGGGAATCGTACCCTTACGTTACACAGAAACCGTTTCTAGTATCACTACACAAACTAAGCAGTGACTTTAAAACCAACAAAACAATTTCTACTTACAACAACAACAACAACAGCTAAACAAACAAAAAAAACTACTCAAAAAATTCTAAACTCTCAAAGCGCAATGTAGCAATAAAAACCAATATGCGTCCTCTATTTTCTATTCCTATTAATAAAATACGAAGCTATATCAAAATTTGGTAGAGAAAGCAAAGCTGGCTTTTAATAAACAACAGAACATATATTGACATGGCTCAAAGGCACGCACCGGTGCCGTTTCACATGTGTGTGACTTCACAAAGGGCGAAACGGAAAAAAAACCACCCTGTGTTTGGTTTTGTTACAATATTTTTTTGCAAGTGGCCATTTTTTTTTTTGAGTCGTTAAAGGACTTCTGTCTTTTCTCTTTGTGTATCTGTTTTATTGTGGATCAAGCTTAAATCTATAAATATATACATACATAAAGACTTAACTAAGTGTGGGAGAACCATGCGTCGGCACGAATGGGTCGGCTCGACCGGAGTGATACCACGGCCTCACAGAAAACCGGCGTGAAACAACCACAGCGTAGTGTTTCGCCGTGTGAGTGAGGTTACCGGAGGCCCAATCCTTCCCCACCCCCAATCGCTAAATCTCCAAATCCCTAATCCTTAAAATGTCGGCAACGCACTCGTAACTCCTACGTTACGGGTATCCATGGGCGGCGCTGGTTGCTTACCATCAGGTAATCCGACTGCTAGTTTGCCGATCTATTACATATAAAAAAAAACTAAGAACCTCGATTTTTTACAAGTCGGTTAAAATGTTAGGTATATTTTGGGTTAGGTAATCACTAAGAAAATCGCTGATCCGAATTTTTACGATTTGATGAAAGATAATTGATTATAAGAAAGAAACTAGCAACCCACCCTGACTTCGTACGAGTCGAAAACCGATACTAAACTTGTCCACTATTTTATGGATGTTATTGTATATAAAAATGCCGCATCAAAATCCGTTGCGAAGTTTTAAAGAATTAAGCATACACAGGGACATAGGGATAGAGAAAGCGACTTTGTTTTAAACGATATAGTCACTCACACTAAGAAGTTTTATTCTTGCCTTTAATATAATTAAGATCACGTAATATGGAAATTTGTGTGTTCTTGTACGTAATGTTTCTAGTGAAAGAATCCAAGTTAAATTCAGTGTATAGGTTTACTGTTTTATATTAATTTCGCATCGTATTAAGTTTATATAAAAATAATTTCTTAGAACGATTCTATTTCACTGAATATTCTGTGTAAAGAAATTGTTCAAAGAGCTGAAGTCAATGTATAGAAAATAAATTAATAAATCTATTATAAAATGTAAGAATTGAGAAGGTATTTAACTTGGAAGCAGTCATGTGGAAGAAGCTAGCTCAGTACATTTTTTATTTAACATGATTTCGTAATGAAGTTACAATGAAATAAAATCTCTGAACTATTCGACCTCCTTTAAGCTGTTTCATTAGGAAACTTGGGAATTATATAGAGATGACCATATCTATGGTCTGGATGGACTGCTTAGACAAAGCAGTAAGAAGGTCAGGCTACCGAATAGTAAACATATTTAGTTTGAATTCATAATATACTAGCTTTTGTCCGCGACTTCGTTCGCGTGAAATAGTGACTTCCTGCAGATTTTTGTTTTAAAACTATCCTATGTCCATTTTCCAAGTTCTAAACTATGTCCGTACTTATTTTCACACAAATCGGTTTAGTAGTTTAAGCGTGAAGAAAAGACAGACAAAATGAGTTTTTTTTTTGTGAGGGGAAAATCATCGAATGTCTTCTCCAGGGCCCGGCGGGAGGGAGTGTCAGACTCTTACTGACTAAAAACCCCCCTGTTCCTTCTCCTGCTCTGGGCCGAGGTCGCGGTGCCTCATTGCGCTTACCCCGCAACCCCGGCTGAAGACAAACAGAGTTGGTTTCACATTTATGACATGATGAATGATTAATGTATACGTTTAGTGAATCTACAGTAAGCCCGATCATGATAAAGATTCACCAAAACTCAATCAACGATTTGTAAAAAGAAATAATTTGAATAAAAGTTTTTTTTTCAAAGCTCCTCTCCTCTGTTCTCAACATGGAAAAATACGCACATAAATACAAAATACGGTTTGAAAATAAGCAGGAAATGTGAGATAAAAATCTATATTGATATAGCCCCTGCACCCGTTTAAGTGCCAACATTTTAGATTGGTACGATATTTCGAGCTCTATTCAAAGTTGAATACGACAAACTTAATAGAGTTGAAAAGGGTATTTTTAGAATTAAAATACGCGGCCCGGGGTCGAATATTTATGACGTTATAAAAGCCAGTAGATTATAAAAGGATCCGGTAAGAATTATGGACACTAATGAACAGCTGACTTTATTTTTTTACGAGATTTTCTTTTGACAAATAGTAAAATGGCGATGGTCGACTTGAATCATTTCTACAAATTCACTTTAAAATTTCCAACAAAATTCAATATGGCAAAAGTTTAAATATTTACGTGTAAACGTAATATTTTGTATCTTATTTACATAAATTTAAATGGATCCAGTGTAAATAAATAAAACAGTGTGACAATAATATCCTGCGTATTTTCCCGAAATGCTAGATGACAGAACTGATAGTCACGTTGCGTCACTTTTTGCAATAACGTACGAAACTGTCACTTGTCAATCGATGTGTCACAGAAGTGAGCCTGGACCATCCATCCTAACAATACATTTCTACGGAAAATCGAAAATCCACTCTATACTGTTTCTGACAAACGCATACCTACATTCTATTATTTTTCGTAAAATCTATATCTCTGAATCAAATTTTCAAATAAACAAAAAACCTTATACACAGGAAACATATTGTAATTTTTATCAAGAAAATCAACGCTACAACATACAGTCAAGAAGACAATTTTCAGAATCCTGTGCCAAGTACACCAAGATACGCATCGATGAAACAAAGATACTTGGCAACTGACCAACTCGGATTGTTTAATTTTTAGTTCCACTGTACTCTGAATTTGGCTCAGTTTAAAGGAAGAATCGATTTTTTTGACTTATGTGTCCTAGCCGGCCATGCTCGCTTAGCTATGTGGGCCACGTTGGTAATAGAGATTAATGGTAGCGTTGGCAATGCAACTGCTATCCGTTTAGCCATGGATTCTAGACGTTTTAGGATAAGCTTTGCTTGCTTAATAGACTGCTATTGTGGATAGAGGAAGATGTTTAAGGATAACCTACTAAAACAGTCTTTATTAAACTAAGAACTTTTTGAATTAATATAAAAAATACTACAGTAAAACTTACCATGCATCATTATAGTATTTTCAATTGAATGCTACATTAAAATGAATTAATTCCATTTTTAAATTCGAAACAAAAACGTTGAACAGAAAACTTGCTTCGCATAACCCCATCAATTACTGTCATTAAATGTCATAAATAAATAATTGTCATTAATATAATTTTACTGGACGTCAATAAAAATGTCAATCGTTGCACAATGACTTATGGATTATGCATTTTAATACTTGGTTTGGACATTACTGGCTGACAATGCAGTGGCGATAAATTTAATTTTATTCGTCAATAGTTTTTATGGAAAGCATTTTATGGTTTAATTTTTGGTTTATGAGGCCGAAGTTTCGACACTCCGTGCTGGTAGTCATAGTCGTAAATAAACTGTATTAAAATGTCTTTGTAACATTTGATTTTGGCTTAAAACTAATAATCGTTAAACTATTTTGAATTTTAAGCTTTGGTTTAAAAAGTTTTATTTAGGAACGACACTGCATTTGACACCTCCGTTGTTTTGAGTGTGAAATAGGTTGGAGTAAAACTGCTTTACGTCTGGCCAACGTAAGATTTTTCAATTTCCAGGTCGAGTAATTAATATCCTCAAAACTTTGCTAAACCAGCATAGAATTTAACATGATTTTGAGACAGTATATTATATGGGCTTCATAATGTTACCTTTTTTATTTACCTGCTACAAAATAGAAGACCCATATGAAATCCTGCAAAACTAAGGGAGTTACACTTGTGCGTTGTTGGCCCTTCAGATAAGGAGTTTAATGTATGGCTAGGGTCTCTCATGGTAAAACTGATTGTTACATATACATAATAATATCATAACACGTAGGTACGTTATTTTGGAGTAATAATTCGTTCGCTGTAGCTTTTGTGATATTATTTTGCCATCGACGCAGCATTCGCAAGTGACTTTTAATTAGATTCAATTGCGTCGAAAATTTCCAAGTATTTAGTTATAAGGGAAATTTTTCGAAAATGCTACTTTAATGGCAGTCGAGACGATGAAAATTTTATATTAAAACAAAATAATTTGCATTGATGAAACGTTTCTTTGGAGACAAAAGCGTTTATAATTTAATTACCTGAAAATAATTCTATTAATTGTACTAAGTACTTTTTAATTTTCCTTTGATTATAAATTAATTAAAAGTACACTGTTGTAGCGATATGTTGAGGTAAACAATGTTATTTTAGATTGTAATTTATAGGATCTAAATCTTCATGTTTTTCCGGATTTTTGTGGATTTGGATTCTGGAATTTTAGGGATTGGGAAGGGAATGAGGGAGACATAGAAGGATTGGGCCTCCGGTAACTTAACTCACATGTCGAAACACAACACTACCGTGAGACCGTAGTATAAATCCGGTCGAGCCGACCCATTCGTGCCAAAGTATGGCTCTATTGTATAGCAATATATTCACAGTAGAAAAAATAAAATAAAACTCGATTTAATAGAATTTTAAAACTTAATCTATTTCCTAGATAACTACGTAACAATGAATTAATTCAACAAGTATGTTCATCGCTAGTAGGGACCTATAGTTGCCCGCACTGCGCATTTTGCGCCCTCTGCCTGCACAGCAGCGGTAGAATGGCGAAAACTTCACAGAATCCAACACTCAGCTCTTAATTGCTAATGAATTTTCTACAGTTCTCTATGTCTTGAAAAACTTATGTGTCTGCGTTTTGTTTCTGTGTGTTTTCTTTAGTCAGTGAGTTAGTTAAGAAGTAGATTATGTGTTTGGTTAAAATGTTATATACTTACTGCGAAAGGCATTGGACGTGGTATTAATTTACCTTTCGCGCTTATTTCACAGCTGGTGCAACGTGTCTTGTGTGATCCATGAATGGTTGTTCCGAGTTCGGATGTGTAGTGTATGTGAAATTGTATGTTTGTAAACGCATTCTATATTTATATTGATACAGATCCTTGTCTGGAGAAAAGATACTGCAACAAAGTATTTTATCTTTTTGACCTCGATATATTGTGTATGAATGCGTAGTTCAAAAGAAAAAAGAACGAAAACAAGCCACTAACACAATATGAAAATAAATATTCATTTGAAAGATTTATAGATATAACAAAAAATTACTTAAATTTTAGTTGAATAATAGTATTTTAACAAGAATTTTAAATATAAACATCGACTAAAACTAACAAATAAAACCTAACCTCAAAAAACAAATCACAGACAGCGAAGATTCCCGAAGAATCCTTTATCTAAATAAATCCTTCATACACGAGGCTAAGCTACAAAAATCCGGATCAAAAGTTCACGACGTAAATTATTTCATTTCCTCTTTTAAGTTATGATATTAACAAATCATATATATTTCGTGCCTATCCGTTGGTCGTCCGTATTTGCTGGCGTTTCTCCAAAACTGGCCATAACGAACGCATTCTGACTGCATTTGCTTCTGGTGTAATTTATAAGCGGATGTCTGCTCGTGGGTACGTACATATGTTTAGGTTTTGGTTGTAAAATGTGATATTTACAATTTTATATTTATGTTTTATAAATTTTAATAGTTTGTTTATTTGAATTGTGCCATTGTGATTTCCTGTTTAGAATCTTAACTTATTGAAGTGAAGTATAGGTATAGTTTTCAGGAAAAGTTTTTTTACGCGTACATTGTAATTATAGGTATTCAGTGTTCTTCTACTGATCATTGCATGTACTCATCCTGTGCAATATATATTATAAATACTAGCGACCCGGCCCGGCTTCGCAAGCGAGCAAGGCTAATTATACTTTTTTCCCTATTATTATACAACTCTTTAACAACGCTTTTTAATAAAAAAACCTTATCAAAATCCGTTGCATAGTTTTAAAGGTTTAAGCAAATATAGGGACAGAGAAAGCGACTTTCTACTCCCTGTAAATGATGAAAAAATAAAATTTACTTTTAAGTGTAACTCTATACTTAAATAAAAAAACATGCTTTTTGCTTTAAAATTCACTACAGTCCAAGATAAATTTGAATGTTACCAATATAAGTAAGTTAACCGCGAATATCTTGTCGCTTGCACCACGCTAAGTTGACCTATGTCAAGTAATATATAGTGTGGCGTTCGCCGGCAGACGTTAGCTCCAAATAATTGGACGATCACATCAGACATGTGTCTTTCCTTCATAATAATATTTATTATAAATATGTTTTATATACTGCACAGTTGACGCTGTAGTTGGGCTACTATAAGTGTGGGAGAGCCATGCTGGAGTGTCTCGGACTTGGTGGGTAATGACTAAAAGATTTAGAATGTATGTACCTTCAGAAAAACAGTGTGGGAGAGTCATGCTTTAGGACGAATAGGTCGGCTCAACCGGAGTGAAACCACGGCCTCAGAAAAAACCTGCGTGAAACTACCACCGTGCGTGTTCCGTCATATGAGTAAAGTTACCGGAGTCCTTAACTATTGTCCATAGGCGGCGCTGATTGCTTACCATCAGGTAATCCGTCTGCTCGTTTGCCGAACTATCCCATAAATCAATTATCAAATAAATCAATACCAAAGTTACGAGTGCGTTGCCGGTCTTTTGGAGATCAGGGTAACGGAGATTTGGTGATTGAGGAGAGATTCGGGGAGGGTAAGGATTGGGCCTCAGGTAACCTCACTCACACGGCAAAAATAACGCTGTAGGGATTTCATGTGGTATCACTCCGGTCGAGCCAACCCATTCGTGGCGAAGCACAGTTATTGTTATATATTTATTAGTAAATATATAACAATAAATATATAAAGGTACGTTTCAAAATATTGGAAAACGACAAGTACCCACCAAGTGCGCCTTGGCAACTCGTACTTGTACACAACTTGACGATGTAACTTTTATGAGTTATTATATTCTTTCTTAATTTATTTAGCCGTCACTGACATACGTCGTAAGGAAACCTTGACTAATAATTTCTAATTATAACTTTGAAAACGTTACTCCTGTCGTGGTTATTAATGCTCATATCTGCTCTGTGTGAGATAAAGCTTTTGCTCAGCAGTGGGCACTTGTAGGCTGATGATGATGATGATAGTAACGATTGTACTAGCTGGCGCATTATGGTCTCTGACAGGACCCTATTTAATAATAAAAATGCGTAAATGTGTTATTTTGTTTTTGTGTAATTGGACGGCAAACAAGCAGACGGACTACTTGATGGTAAGCTATCATGGGACACCCGTCACAACGGAGGAGTAACGAGGTCGTTGCCGACCCTTTAGCTTGCTCATTGCGCTTACCCCGCAACCCCGGCTGAACATTAGCCTTAATGAAAATAGTTAATGTTTTTTTTATAGTATGTTTCTCTTTGAAGGGACAAAACGTTACATAATGTTTTTTATCAACAACATAATTACAACCAACCAAAAATACGAGTACATTCAACCAAACCAAAAAGCAACCATATAAAAAAATAAAATAAAAGTTAATAATTGAATGGAAAAAATATTTTAGAAGTCGCCCCAGTAATTAAAAATGCTGGCATTAAGCAATCAAGTACAAAGGCGAGGTAGCAAGGGGCAGAATAAAGGCGGGCACATACCGAGCAATTAGGAGGGACCGTGCCAAATGTCGCATTCATTGTGGATGGCTTCATTTTATAGGAGACAGCGGGTCTGTACTACCCTTTACTATAGACTATAGTCACGTGTCACGTTGGAAAATAGTATCTACATATTTTAATATTTTCATTTTTATGTCATAGGTCGGCAAGCGAGCTGACGGATTACCTGATGGTAAGCAATCAGCGCTGCCCATGGACGCAGTGACGGGTAAGTTGCGAGTATGTTGCCGTCTTTTTAGAGATTAGGGTTTTGGACATTTAATACTTCTTAATAAAAAATCATTTTTGTGTGTATGTTTGAAAGCGCCAGCCTATTACTGCTTCAAATTAAAAAAAAGTGTTTGCGTTTTGTTATCCGTTCATTGGAAGGCTTTGATAAAATACCCAGAAGAGGTTAAGGCAGCGATTAAACTGTATTCTAGTAGCTAGTCAGAAATAAAAAGATTTTTTGTCTAAAAATGAGAGTATTAATCTTAATTCTAATATGTGTAAAATAATAAACTTATCTGGGGATCTAGTTATCGCCTCCAGTCTATTGTGATTTCAAAATGTATAGTGACAATATTAAGTAAGAAAATACTAATTAAGAAAGGTTTTTTATTCCATTTACAAGGTATACAAGTAGCCAATATGTGTTATTCCAGACAATAATCTATCTCTGTGCCAAATTTCATCTAGATCTGTTCAGTGGTTTTGTAAGAAAGAATAAGAAACACCATTCATACCTACTTACAAACTATTTCTTCTTCGTTTATAATATAAGCAGGATAAGTTTAGAATAAACATGCGTACACAAAAAAAAACAAAAAACAATCGAAACAAAATCATGTCAAGCAACAAAAGTAATAACAAAACAAAACAAATCTATCCGAAAATGAGCAAAACCTCACCGTTCGCTTATTCTAATTAGCAGAACCCTAATTCAATCAATGTTCACAAGAATTACCATTAATTAATTGATTTAATTAACATTTAATTTATACACCGCACTTCAAACTTGGACCACATGTGCTTTCTCTTTTACCAAGTTACCTTTGCGATTGTGCTATCCCCAATTACTATGATGTTAAGGTTGTTTTTCTCTGTGTGTAGTGACTGTGTATCGTTTGTATTGTAAAGCTTTGGTATTCAATAGAACGCCATATGTTCTCTGATGACGATTTCATTGGTAAAATCAAACCTAACACTTAGTAATTAGGGTTAATTTTTTAGTGTTTGAATGCTTTGTTGTATTAGTAGGTTTTTGTAGGGGGTGTTTTGTTCTTGATTTACCATTTTCACGATATGATAAGTGTGGGTGTTTATTTGGCAGGAATGGTTTTACTCATTCATTATCGAAAATTGTCTTTAAATGTTCTGTAAAAAGGACCGTATTTAACAAAGAACTGTGTCTACACCTTCGTGTAAACACATACGCTGGGTTTTGCACGAAAAGATGAAAGACTAGCAACTATTAACAATCGTTGAAAGAAATATGTCACAGAAACGATTACTTAAAAACAATATGCGTAAGTGAAAACAAAAACAACAAAAACAAATACGTAAATAATAAAATTACAACAACACAACGTTCATACGCTTTGACACAGTCGACTTTGACGGGAAACAATTGTTTATTCCCGGACATACTCGTACGGTGACGAGACAAAAACTTCGCGATTTTTCATTCACAGAATGTTGCCAGTATAAAAAACTACACGTGCGCCATTTTTGCCCTGAAAGTCATACTCATGTATAATATCCCTTTGTCTATACAAGTCTCTCGGGGTTGCCAGTTCTTTTTCAATTTCTTTGGCAGACTGTTTCGATCACAATTTGTGTTGACGACTAGCCAATTCCCAGTGGAAGGGTTGATAGGGATGCGAAACATAATAAAGTCCCGGGATTTCGAGTGTTGTCGACCGAGATTTTTTTATTGTACTATCGAATTTACCGAAATCATTTTCCAATTTTCGATGTTAAAACGAGTTTTTCGTAATTAAATTTTCGTAGTTGTATTGCGTTGATATTTTAACACTGGTATGCTGCGAGATTGAAAATTAAAAGTCGATCAGGTGGAAATCGTGAAAGTTCAACCGAAAATTTCTGATGTTGGTTTTTCAAATAGTTCCTGAAATTGTTGTAATTTTCGAAAATTCATCCATTCGTCGTTGATTTCAGTTTTCCGTTTTTCGTTTTTCGATTTAATCAAATCTTTCACTTCAGTTCTATTAGTATGATTTTTCAGGAAAAATAAATAGATATGTTAAGAAAAAAAAATAGCTATATGAACACAGACAAACTTTACATTTAACCGTTTTAATTTATAAATATTGTAATTTTAAATAATCCACTTATTAGTGTTACAAATTAATAAACAATGCATCTTAATAATTTAAATTAAATTTTAACTAGTAAACCAATAACCTCGTTGTAAAGTTTAAACCAATTAAACTTTCAAGCAGTACTTGTCATGTAAATCTCTACATAATATAAAAAAGTCGCTTTCTCTGTCCCTATATCCCTATGTATGCTTACATCTTTAAAACTACGCAACGGATTTTGATGCGGTTTTTTTAAATAGATGTAGTGGTTGACGAAGAAGGTGTATGGTGTATTAAAACATCCATTAAAAAGTGGAAAATAGAAAAGGCACGATTAGAAGGAGGTTTTATTTTTCTGATCCACTTTTTTCAAGCGTTACGAGGAAATACAGATTAAATTCTCCTTTGATGCATAACTGCTTAACCTTCGCCAAAGAACTATAAAGTAATGAGCATTCAAAAATTAGGGCTTCACCCAACTAGTACAGCACTAAAATCGAACCCCGAAATTCCAATTAATATCCAAATCAAATTGGGAGGCGTTCGACTGTGCGCCGAATAAAATTTATTCGACCAATAAATTACTAAGATAACAATTCTCTCTGTTTGTTTAATTTTATTCCAAATTATTCGGAATAATTAAAACTGTGAACTTTGCTACATGATGTGTTTAACGTGAATTTTAATTGAGTTACAAATTAAGGAAGTTCTTTTGCTGTTTTTTTTACGATTTTTCTCGCTTTAGCTTTACTACCACTTAGAAGCAGCTTACATAGATACATAGGTACTTGAAATACTAGAATTTGACACCACGTCAGTACAAAATATATTTGCGATAGAAATTATAATTTTAGTTGATATAAATTACTATCACTGATATCGTTGTTACTTTTGACTGTTATTATTCTTGTAAAGATTGTAATTGCTGGGTAAAAGTCTCTTCTCACACGAATAAGCTTTGAGCATTAATCACCACGCAAGTTCAAGGCAATTTGGTGACTTCAAACTCCTAATTTGAAGGTCTAGGTTTCCTAATAATATCCTTACATAATTAAAAACAAAATCGACTTTTTGAGCAGAAAATCGTGCTATATATACAGATAACAAGAAAATTTTCTCTGAAATAAGACGAGAAGTTACCTCGGAGAAAATTATTTGCACCGCAATACCGTTTGATTATAATTACAAGAAGGAATCGTAGCTATCTCCTTCAACCATTGTCTCAAGTTACCACCCAAAAAAAATACACAGAAAATCCACAAAGAAAAACTCTAATAAAATTATAAAACGCATTTTCTTAAAGAGATCTTCAGAACTGTGGTTTCATAAATAACCTTCTGTTTTCAAAAAAGAGTTGTACTTCTTTATATTTTTTTCTTTTTTGTTGCTGAGGGTAAAAGATAAAAAATAATTACGCTTTACCATAGCCAGTCACGACAAAAGCCTAATATTCTTTCATTAACTACGCTCAGAAAGAAAAAAAAAGGTTTTTTTTTGTTTTTTTTTTTTCTCTCACTTTTCCGCGGTACTCTAATTGGGTCTTTTTTCTATAAATTGAATCAGTTTTGAAACAAGGAGTTTTGGCGGTTAACGTTTTAACGTAGTAAAACATTATAATAACAATAAAGGTTAAGTTAATTTTTTTTTAATTAATTTTCGAAAGACTGGGTCAGAAAAAATGGATGAAATATTTTTTTTTTTAAGTAATTAGTTATTTTTTTTGCACTTGAATTTAAAATTTTCTTTTCCATGTAACGTTTAGAGCTATAAAATTATATTGTTTACAATTTTTTAAACTATGAATATAATATTGTACTTTTGTCTGGTAATAAAAGAAAAAAACTTAACATACTTTTTAATGCATATAACTTACAGGTTATTTTCGCGCGGTTTGGCCTACTGCTCGGCTCCTACAGATGGTAGCGTGATATTATAAAGTCTAAAGCATTTCTCGATACCTAAATGGTCTATTCAACACAAAAATTGTTTTTTAATTCAAACCAGTAGGTAATTTCTCAGATAAGTGTGTTCAAACAATCATAAAAACTGTTCTTTCAACTTTATTATACTTTTTTTTAAATAAACGTTGCCCCACACTATTTTCTCTGGATTTTCTCCTGTTTCGTATGCGGTTTCAAACATACAATTTCACATACACATGGATCACACAACGTGTTGTTCCGTGCGGGAATCGAAACCGCGACACGTTGCACGGCAGCCAGTTGCCCAGCCACCGCACCAATCGTGCAGTCATATTAGTATAGACTGAACGCCTTGTAGTATTAAAACTAAACATATTAAACATAAAATTTCTAAGGCATTCTTTGTTTAAAATAAATATATCTACGGTCATAGTAGGGCTAAAATGTAACAAATTAAGCCACTAAATGTTCTACCGAAATTCAGTAGTTTTTAAGTTATTTAGATTTTTTAGTATTTTTATGAAAAATCCCAGATTAAATCATTTGGAGCCAATTCAAAAATTATTTACGGCACGACACTACTGAAATTTAAGTTAATATCATAGTTGATGCCGTAGCAGATCTTTGTTAACAATTAAAAATTCAAAATGCCAAAAACTTTGGCAAATATCACAAAAGAAACATTTATTTTTTTGTGATTATTGCTATTACTTGATACAAAATTTTGTCTAGTGAAAAAAAAATTACTATGCCAAATGTACAAATTACTAGGAAAACACGTTATAATATACCAGTAACCCTGTATATTATAACTTACACACAGCACTAGCAATTTTAATAATAGAGTGGCCCAACTATATAATTTCCCATAAGAAATGTGGTACACAAATACACAGGAAGATGGGGTTGCCAATAGGGACAAAAACAGGAAAATTATTTCTTTGAACTGCCAATAAATTACTCAGTATAATGTGAAAGTTTAT